GAGGTGGGTAAACAAACAATCACAGCTTATAGACTATTGAATTCGTGATTCCCTTTCTTATCATTGATTTCTAATCCAAACTCACTGAGTGTGGCTGCTTGTAATTGTGTGGAGTAATGTATTATCTAGTCTATATTTCAGTTCACTATTCTGGGTCGTGGATCCTGGATCTGATATAATGTGACTAGTTTTATTATCGTATTAACGCGTTATCGCAAAATACGTCAGAGAGTAAGATAAACTATTATAAACATCCATTATATCAAATAGGATATGTATTTCTTTTGTAAATCGAGAACTTAGATCAGCTGAATATCCTGACATCCTAGTATTACTATGTTCATACCGTAATTTAATAATTATCGCTTTGAATAACATTTCATTTCATAACAATTTCAACTATAGTTTGTTACCTATTCTTTAGTATTCAGTTTCATTATGACACAGTTTAACATTAAGTTCCGTAAAGTTTTCATCAGTTGAGGATGTACTAAATGTAAACAATGAATAAAAGCACAGTCATCATGAGAATAAATCCAAATTGTGAATTATGGGATGGCTAGGTAGTATTGTTGTTGTGGAAAGATCGAATGATGATGATGATACCAAGGCTAATCTTGTGTGCGGGTTGTAAGTGAACGTTGTTGAAAAGTTTCATGAGGTTATAAGTTATCCATGATGGGAATTTACTTTAAATAATTCGTTGAATTCCTTGAATAAAAGTAAATGTTTTGTGAGCTCATTTGAAATAAACTGTCAGTGAATTAATCTTAATAAAGTAACAACACTACAAGCTACTTATTGTAAGTGGAAAAATGACTTTATAAAAGATTTGGATCAGTTTTTTCTTAAATGAAAAGTGTAATAACGGTGAATAAGCATTGATTACTTACCACTCATAATCACTTTGAGTGCATGGACAAAATTCCACTTGTACACGCGTTTCCATTTCATATTCATTTGCACAACTAAAATGAAACAATGAAAAAGTTGATGATGAAAAAAACGGTACACATAAAGAATAAGCAGTATAAGGTTGAGTTTAGATTGATTTTATGAATAAATCAATGTTAGACCGCCATTGAGAACTTGAAAGCACTAGACAGCCGTTTCGTCGTGGTATGGGACTCCTTAACAGTGTGCATCCACGATCCCGCACGCGGGACTCAAATCCAGGAATTTCAGTCTCTCGCGCGAATACTTAACCTTTAGACCACTGAACGAACATCCAACAATGTTAATGTATAACTTCAACCAATTGATGATATTGAGCAACTGTCCATACATTTCCTCTAAAAGTTGATCAACTAATCATTTCGTACAGAAATTAGTTATTTAGGTATAAAAAATAATTCACTGGAACACACTCCTGAATTTTACATTATAATAATGTAATATTCGGTGATTATAACAAACACTGTCAAAACAGTTGAAATTGCAACATAAAAAAGAGCGGATATTTAAGTTTCGCATGGAACATTTTGAATTTGTACAACCTCTCATCATTATTAGCATTGTAGTCATTAAATGACGAGTTTGGATGATAACTTATATAGCTTATATATTACTAACAATTAAGGCAAACATTTGACGTAGATAGTAATTCCTGTTTTATGACAAAATTTTATCACTTTCATTTTAAGGTGTAATAAGTTATAGTTAGAATTCAAATAGAATAGGTCACAAACAAGAATGAGAATTTGATGTTATGTGCTTCTAGGTAATCGGAAGGAATAACTATATTGAAGTTGTTATCTAATTGGCATGAATCATTTTAAAGCATTGAAGCGATTTCATTATTTATAGATTATATATAATTAAAACGAATGCTTTGAGTAACTCATAAATCATAAAAGAATGAATTGATTGGAGTAGAATAATCAAGATTTATGAAAGATTAAGTATTATGATAATGATAGCATCACATGAAATCATCATTTACAAATCACAACTGACACTACTTATGAGTAATATATAAAATATGACAACAAAAATAGGCAATCTACGGAAGCTATATTTTATTGATAAATGAATCAAGTAGATTTCAAGAATTTTATTTGAACTTGAGAAGAAACTGAACGTTGCAAGAAGATTTGAGCCATGAAACACTGAAATGGTATTTTAAATAATCGAGTCCCGTGGGGCAGGATCTTGTATGCGCATTGCTGAGGAGTCCCACAATAGGACGAATCGGCCGTCCAGTGCATCCAGGTTTTCCATGGTGGTCTAACTTCAATTGACTCATGATCTCAACTATTGAAATTACTACAATATCCACAAAACCCCTTCTGATACTAATTCAGTTATTATTCAGTGATTATATGTTGTACGAATTAAAGTCATATCAATTTTATTGACTAGTTCCCGGAAATATTTAATTAAGATTTATAGATGAGTAAACGTAAGAATTGCCAATGTGTTACTTATTTTGTTGAACTTCCTTACTGGTCTATTTATGATCTGTAAACAATACACATAATCAATAGTTCTAGACGTTGGTTGTTAACATGGTGTAATACTAATCACAGTTACACAGTTCATACTCAATTTTTATTTTCTTCACGTTCGCCTTACTCTTAAATTAAGCATCATTATCAAATTTTAAGATCTATAAGATTTCTTGTTTATGGACTGCATTCTTTGTGTTAAGATTTACATCGTTTTCAATGTCTTTTGTCAACCTTTATTTCTCAATTTGTTAATTTACCATAGACTGTTCCAATTTGAGGTATTGATCATAACAGGCTTATACAGTTAATTTTCTTCAGACTTTGTATGACATGAAGATAAATTCTTTCAAAGACTGACAGATACACGGCAGTGAAGAGTCAACTTTACTTCATATGAAATTCTCCAGTAGGGAACACTGAATACCCTATTATTATAGAGAAGAACTTGAGATAATTGAATGCCAGTGTGAGCTAAATACCGCTGTACTAATATTCAAACGAAATTCAATGATACTAGATTTTTAGTCAATCTATTTGAAGCAACAATCACTGAAACAACCAATAGTTTATACCACTTTTTTGAATAGTAGAAATCCAAGTTAAAATTAGTTACTACTACTAGAGGACACGCACTATTCACAGGTTAGTTAGTTAGATGAAAGCATTGAAAATTAAATTCCAGAGTAATAAGAGTTGAAGTACTGTTAGTGGTAGTAAAAAAACATCAAGGATAGACATTATAGTTCGAATAGAAAGAATGAACTAACAGAATAAAATGTATAAGATAGTTATAATATTCATGATCTAAGAGAAAACAGAAGGAGAATGTATCTGCATCATTGTGACCGGTTATGAACCAAGTTACTGAACGCCTTCAACCATTAGCGTTTTTTTAGCGACTTAGTTTTCTACGGGATAGGGTCGCTAACCCCATGCCCAACCCTCCTCCTTTATCCGGGCTTAGGACCGGTAGTAGCCTCCGGACTCAACCATGTGTCGAAATGAATCACGAGAATATAAAAACCAGATAGACTGAAGCAATCAACAACATTTACATATCATAATCTAGTCATGAAACTGTTGTTATTCTTTCAGTTAAGAACAATACACCAATGACTGACAATTCCTATTGGCATAAAATATATGAACTGTGAATGAAAAATTTACACGAAAAATATTAACCATTTTTATGTACAGCATAAATTTTAAAAAAAAACATCAATCCAGTGATCAAATAACTAGATGATAATGAGCTGATGGTAAACTTTCGCCAATCGGATCACAGATTGGTTAGTATAAATGTATGAGAGAGTCAGTCAGTCAGCTACAACGTAGGACCAAGCACATATATGTATCGGTCCAACTTGCCATACCACATTAGCACAACAAGATGAACACCAAATTCATAGGAGTGGTTAATTCAATGGTGATAATGTATAAAAGAAAGATTGCATATAAGGACATAGTATGGTAAGAAAGTCTTAGTTTGTAGAAAGAAAGTTATGAAGCGATTTTAATCTCATAGTTTAAGGAAAGACAGAGAGTGTATAAACCTACATCATTGTGATCGATTCTGAGCCATGTCACCAAGAGTCTCCAACCACTGGTTACGATAATCGCGCGGACCCCAACCAAGTAGTCTGCATCTAACAACGTGGCTCAGACTAAAAGTTTGTGACTTCAATGGCTGATGCCACGTTTCGGTTTGGCCGCCCCTAACTTTCTTCCAATCATCCCCAACACCGGTTAGCATTGCACGTCGTGGTGATCGGTGTTCAGGCATAAACAACGTATGGCCCAACCATCTCAGTCGATGAAGATTCACAACTTCACCAACTGATTTATCATCATTCTCTATTACCATGCGTCTAACCTCAATGCATCAGGGAGGAAATGAATAATTTCAGTAAAACAAAGCTATTTGTTATAGACAAGTTGTAACAATGAAGTTAAGAAGAGATTAAGTTATTCAGCATTTTTTTCTTGGAAAAATATGTTAGTTCATTCTTCAAAGGATAACCGAGATGATATTTTCTTGAACTATGTTTCTGTAATAGCATTGGCCACCGCCTAAGAGATATGTTTGAAGAGATTATGAGATCACCGGAACGAAGGATCAGCGACACAACGACAAAACAAGCTAAACTATTCAGATTCGTCCCAACCATACTAATTACAGGCGAAACACCAGGGTAAAAATGAGGGAAAGGTATATTCCACAAGCAGACAGAAGCACGAACAAAACAAGCATACAACTCAAGCGTATATATATAGCATACAAAGGTCCTTGGGAAACGTCGCAAAATAGCGTATTAAAAGAGGCAACAAACCAATGACATTTAGGGTCTTTCTACGCGGGAAATACAATCGGAAAGTAAAAATCGGAGCTTTTGGCGCGAAAACGTGAAATTCAAATGCGCAAAATAAAATTACAAAACAAGACGTTTACCAAATAATTTCTGAGGATCTGTCATCCCCAACAGTAATTGAGTGTCATTACTTGTAGTTTGCTAACTGTTGTGTTGTGTTTAAAGTTCGTGCATCTTACCATTAAGAGAGTTGTTCCTTTTTTAATTTTTGATTTCTATTTGGATTATAAGTTTATCTTGTAAGCCCCATCCCGTTTATCTCTATTAGTGTGGAGACTAATGACATTGAAATGTTGTTACTTGACAGACATTCGGTCTACTTAAGCCCCTATTAATTGCACCGTATTAAAAGAATTCACAATTATTCATAAATAAAAACTGCCATGAGTAGACCGGTAACTCAAACACAATACGCTAATCGTTCTTGTAAAGATTTAATAAACTAGTGGCACAATCATTGAAAAGGGACGATCTATTTTAGCCCACTGATTCATATAGTCAATCAAAATTAAAGGATACAAAAGTTAATGTAGTCATTACGCACAAAATGACCATGGTGATCTATTAGGTTGTTTTCTATATGATGATATTGCTGACTCCATGTCCAACCCTCTCTTTCTATCCGGGCTTGTGACCGACAATAATTATAGAAGGACTATAAGCGGACTCACTTAGCTACTGAAATTACAAACCTAACCATAAATATTTAAACATTAATTTTGTGAATAATAGAAATTTGAGAGAAACAAAATGTTTTTAGTATGATTAACGTCATCATCATTAATATTTTTATCAATAAGACAAGATACTTAATGACACAGGAGGAGATAATAAAAAGAGTAGGAAATTATTCCCCCCTAGTAAATGAGTATATATGGGTATATATATATATATGGATATGTATTGGTGTATAACAAAGAATGAGAAAGAGGAATGAAACGAAACAAACAAGGTAAATAATGAATCTATAATCGATGAACTAAGAGTCTATTTTTTCTTCCAATACTTTAAAATTTGCTTAAGTGAATTAAAAATAAAAAGATACTTAGATTCATTTCTGATTTAAAAATGTGTATCATTCAACACTAATCCGATGGTTTGTCATGAGACTTAAACGTTCTGGATATTATGATTTGTGGAGTAAAGCGG